CCACCTTGTCTACAGGAGACTAGTTTTCCCACCCATTTGACGCAGCTCTGGGTGGGTTTCTTGCAGAATCTGTGTTGAATGCATGCAAAATTTTCAGTGAAAGTTAGTTTACTTAATAAGCCTCTAAAATAATTAGGCCAAGCCTAACAGCTTTTCCACATTCAGAAAGGAAAGTTTTGAACAGCCCCTTTCCCTGGCTAGGGAACTCAGCAGTGACTGCACACACCATCATGCAGTATGTAGCAGTTCAGTCATCAAAGAACATAAGCCTTCTCTAATTTTCCTGCTAGGAGCTGATGTGGGTTATTTTCCTCTTTCATCTCTGTACAGAGGATGATAGCATGTCTTCAGTTTAAATTTTAGAAATTAAGTTAGGGAGAGGAAATAGAAATCTTGATTTTTTTAAAAAATACTTCTACAGTGAGTTTGCATGTGAACTTATTTACAATGTGGGATAACTGTAAGGGCAAGAAATGAAAAATACATTTCATCTTAATTCTTAGCTGTTTCAACTAGCCTGTTGTTACCCAAGTCACTACTTGATACATTGTTTTTCTATTTTTTGTAGAAAAGAAGAACAGGAATGCAATCGTTTGCATATTATTCCTCTGTAGTTATAGTTGGCTTTAAAGTGTATCAAGGCAGCTGATCACAGTCTCGCTGAAGAAGTAGTTATTGATTTACTGATCTAGTATCTACCAAACTTAAATGAATCTGCTCATTTGACAATAAGTACCCAAAATTATTCTAATCAATTATATAAAAGGCACCCTTTGGGTTGTGAGTCTTGTTTGAGGGCAGCCATAACAGTGGATAACATTGCTGACTTCTGAAGAGTAAAACAACTGGTTTTACAGCTCCAGTATTTCTGAGTCTTAGTCAAGAGTACAGTTAGGGTATGACAGCTCATTTTGTGAAACTTAGAGGTTTGTTAGTACTACGTTGAAACAAATCCAGAATCATGTAATGGCTGTCTGGGATCTCCTACATCTCACAGCGGTCCTCCGACCACCAGGTGACAGGTTGCAGAATTCACCTTTTGTTTTCCTCTGGTAAGAACTTCACTGAAACAGAAATATTTTCTTTTTCTGCAGAAAGCATTTGGCATCAGCTAAATGAAATCTTGATGAAAGAAAACAACAAAAAAATGTAGTCAGAAATATTTGACCTTAGCCTTAGTCTCCTAAGTACCATAGGATTTTGTTAACTTTTGGATGACAACAGCTATCCCAATAAGATAGATATTTATAGTGTAGACTCAAACTGGACTGGGTTTTGAATAATGTAGAAATCACATAATCAATTTTTTTTGATTCATTGTATCAATGTTTGTTTTACAGGTAGGAAGGTATTTTCAGTTCCTAGTTGATATCTGCATTTCAAAAAGATGTTTAGTGTTTTATAAAAATATATTACTTAAAGCTGTGAGGTACTGATACAGAGCATCAGATAACGAAAAAAAAATCAATATATGGCCAATTCATTTATATACATAAAGCGCTTCTCTCAAAATATAGTAACATCTGTGAAGGAAGAACAATTAAATGCTTAATGTAAAAGTCCTTCAGCTGAGCAATATCTTATCTAATATCATGGTTCCTAGCACTCTTAACAGAGTTAGTGTTTTTAAAAGTATTTACAATTATAAGGGTATCTTTTGAGATACAGAAGGGTAAAATAAAAAGCTCTTGTCTGCGCTTAAGAGCTTAGTTTCCCAGTTCTTCTTGGCAACTGACTGCCCTATGAGGTCCCCCCCAGCAGTGGGAAGAGGCTTGGATGAAAGTCCCTCAGGGAAGGACTGCTGAGCCCTGGCACAGCCGTTCATGGTGGTGCAGCTGCGGAGGTATGTACCGAGTCGCTTGCCGTCCCTCCTCTTCTTCCCACCTCTGCTTCCAGTCCACATGGATTGCGAAGGGTGGTCCCAGCAGGAGGATGTGATCGAGGAGGCACTCATGGAAAATCACATTGCCCGTATGCTTCACTTGTCTGAGGAATTACTTTTTTTTTAACTCCTCTCTACTCATTAGCCAGGGAAAAAGAATGGGGACTGATCAATTTGGACTCCATATTTAGCACTTATTTGGTGGATAATAAACTCTGCATTCAAAAGGGATGAGGGTAGTAGATTAGAAGCCATTTGCAGTTCAAGGGCATATTTAGAAGAAAGATCCATTGCCAATTCCACGTGGAAACCTTCATTCTGTTTCATTGTACTCAAGAAAGACATCCCAATTTACGACCTTGGGTCACAACTGTTACTTACTGGGGGGGAGAGTGACTGATTACAGTGATTTGCATCTTGGGGCATTTTTCTGGGTTAAGTGGAAGTGTGCTCTTTGAGTCTAAAATTGTGTCTTAGCAAACTCCGAGTGGAAATTTTTCCAAAATACATTTTAGTGATTTTAACTGATTAAAAATAATAGACCCTATATAGCCAAGACATATGTCATACTGTACTTTAAAGATACTGCAAATTGAAGGAAAAATGTGAGAAACTCAACAGTTAGGTATTAGAAAATTTTGTTGTATTTTGTAAAGTAAATATGTGATGGTATGAACATTTTTATTAATTTTTACTGCTGGCTAACTATCATTGTTCCATTCATAAGTTCTTAGACATTTCTCAATGTACTGGCTCTTCAAACACAGTTACAGCTGGATTTGTAGCAATGATAGATTCTTTTCCATTTTTTTGAAATACTGACTTATAAAACATCTCTAAAGAACAGAAATAATAGTAGATTATTTCCACATCATGTGGAATGCCTTCCAGCTTTTGTTGTCTCACTCTTATTTTCCTGATTTTTTAGTTTTCCCTCATTTGGTCTTCAGCAGGTTGGAGGTTTGTTTTGAATTATTTTCTTGGTCCATCTGTTTAGTCAGTATGCATACCTTATTTTTTTAATGTATGGGTTTAATTTATGTGGGGATCAAACACTATAGAAATGCTTTTCTTTCAAATGCTGCGAAATGGAAGACAGTTGAATTCAGTGATCAGGCTGTGATTAAGCATTGCTTTCCTGCCTGTGAAGACTTTGGACTTCTGATGTTTCAAGTTCTGAACATTTTAAAAGTAGGAAATCATGCATTGTTAGTTAAACAGTGGAAATCAGGATCTAAAGTATTATTTTATAAGTAAATATTAATATCTTTTATTTACCAAATCGAGACACTAGACAATTTGGATGTAAAATGTAAAAAAGCAAGTAAAATGTTGAATTAATTATGCTTTCTCTCAATTCATGATGCTCCATATTTGTGGAAAGATCTAGTTTTATATTATTTCTAGCCTTCATAATGCAGTGTCTTTCTGACGTAAGATTTATGCTAGACATTGTTCAATTGTACTACGTTTGACTTTTTGCAGGACACTGCCACTGTAATATGGTAAATAATGGGTGCTAAATAATGTAAACATGGATCTCCTTGTTCAGATAGGCTGCTAACGCAAAGCTGAGTTATCCTACCCCCACTGTTGCTCTTGACCTTGATCACACCACCTTTCATGGACACTTATCATCTATTGCCTTTCGTGGCTCTAGCCTCTTTTGTGTCTTCTACTTTTCAGCTTGCTTCTTCGGCGGTTCATTTAGTGGTTAGGCTTGGATCCTTTCTCCTCTTTGCCCTTTTAATGCTTCTTTTATCCTCTTTACTGATTCCTGGCCTCCACACAATTTCAAACTTCTGTGTTTATATGTGGGTTTTAAATCCACCTCTCTACTTTTAATCTTTCTTCTTGTCCAGTCTCCCACATCTCATTCTTTTGCTATTTATTCTGTAAACACAAAACTTACGCCAAATTGCTCAATGCTTTTACTTGAAACTTCATGTTGCGTCAAATTTGGCAGTGTCATCGTATTCATCCTTGTCAGCATAATCTGTGACAACAGTTTTGGCTTTTCACTGGTTTGGGATGTTTTTAAAAACAAACAAATGCAATGCAGGTGTGGATTAATGGTACAAAGCTCTAATTGTGAAGCACCTGGGGTACAGATATTCATGAGCAGCAAAGCATTGCTCCCAAATGAGTGTCACTGAGGGATTTGGGCTCAGCTCTATGTAGAACAGGAGTGGCACAAAAGAGTACCCTTTCATTTTCAGTTGACAGACACCATCTCATTCTGTAAATCTGTCACTAGGAATCATTGCTGTTTTCTTAAAGAATTGAGGAGGAAGGTAGGAGCTAGGAGGCTGGAGAAGGACCTGACATAGTTTAAAGAGTCTGCAGAGCTATTGGAGCTGTAGTTTCTCTGGGCTGTTTGGACTGCAGCATCGCCTGGGATTTCCCTGACACAGGCAAGACCACCGCAGCTCCAGCTCTGATGTGTTAGCCAGCCTCCAGCCCTGACTCCTGCAAACACCTTATACCAGATTATTGAAATGCATCCGTGGAGGACCGCACTGTAGATATGGAAGGCAGGTGTCTTCTGAAGTGACGGTACTGCACTGCTCTTTCTGTCAAATAATTTTTGCTCAGCCCTTGGTCTTTTACCTGAAAGAAGGGATTGGAAAGGGAACGAAACTTTCAGTCTTTTTATAAAGAAGAGTGTTCTAGCATCTGCAGTGGCCACAGGAACAAGATGAAGATTGCTGAGCTCCTACCCTAACCCTTTCTGCAAGCTGCAGCAGATCCCTGTAAATGTTCTTGAATGCTTTCCAAAGCATTTGCTGGCTCAGAGACATATGTAACTCCGTTAGCTGGAGAGGCCTATGTTTTCTTCTAGGGGTCGGTAGTAGCCTGAGTCCATTGGTACACTGGGGCAGTAGAAGTCCCGCAGCAGCACAGCGTTGCTGGAGGCCTCCTGGCAGCAGTGCCGGGCTTGGGCTGGCCTCACCTCCACAGTTAATAAGGTTGTCAGCCGCTAGGTCTGCGTGCGAAATTGTGTTTGCAGGTCACAGGATTTTGTTGTGAGAGCGTAAGTCAGCGGTAAGTTGGCAGCACATTAGAGGTTATTTAGGGAATATTCTGTCTTTACCTTTTTTTTCTTTTGATGTTGCAGGAAATATTCAGGAAGTCATATTACAAGAACACTTGGAAAAAGAAGATGAAATTCTGGTTTCCTTGGCTGGTTTGAAGCAGGTATAACTATTGCTTAATTTAACCTTCTTGTATCCCTCAGTGCTATTAATCCTTTCTTTTTTTTTTTCTCCTTTTTTATTCTTTTTGTATACTGCTGTTTTGTCTAGTAGCTGTTTTACTAATACTAATGCATCAAGCATTAGGGCGTACTTTTATTTTAAAAGGTAGAACTCAGCTATAAAGAGTTCAAATGACTTGCATGGTGTTTGCTCCCTGAAAAGTTCTGGAGGCCTCAAAACAGAACTGAGGCAGTGCGACACCCAGTTCTGGACTTAAGCCTCACCATCATTTTTCTTAATGCAAAGTGTACATGCTAGGCAATAATCATGCCTATGTCCCCATTATTTAAATGTGATGACACTTGAATGTTATTGAATTAAAAGAAATAATACTACATACATAAAATGAGAATGCCGCTGAGCATCTGTAGCTCTGATTATACTGTCCTCTGCTCCCTCAAAATACATTTTATCAAGAATGGTGTGACATATGTTAAATCTATAATGAGGTAGGGAATAATCTTAACGTGTTTCTCTTTAGATTTCTTGGATACATGTTTTCCAGACTCTGATACAATCACATTTCACTGATATTTATATCTCTAGCCAATATAGGTATGAATATTGACTTGCTTCCTATCTCTTCAAAGCAAATATTTGGGGGAAATGGTGTATGAAAGCATGCTGCACAGAGCTTTAGAAAATTTAGAATTTCTCCAAATTTCTAACCTAGATTCTTTCCCCTCCCATCCAACAACAGATCAAGGACATCTTGAAAGGTTCCCTGCGTTTCAACCAGAGCCAGCTGGAAGCTGAAGAAAATGAGCAAATCACGATAGCCGATGATCATTACTGTTCCAACAGTCAGAACAAGGGGACAGGTGATGTCCTAAAGGGACCTGTTATGACAAAACAACAGTTCATCTCAGGACAACAGGTAAGATAAAAATATCTCAAACAGGTCATCAGTGGAATTAGTCTGACATGTTTTGGAGACTGACTTTAGCATGTCCAGACATTATGTGGGAACACACCAGCATTCCTGGTGCGTATGGAGCCATGGTTAAAAGTTTCTCTCTAGCTACTGTCCTAATCCCATCGATTATTTTTATTGTAGCCTCCTGGTCAACACACAGATATTTAAGTGTTACACAGTGTTTGGGGAGGTTCTTCTTTCAGATTGTTGAATCACAGAATCATGGATTAATTTCCTACAAAAGTATGTAAAAACTGGAGGTAAATGTTCCTGTATCAGTTGATTATTCTCATTGTCCTTGTCCTCCAGAATCCCATTATGTAAGAGCTGATTATCTGCATTGCAGTGTATCCATGGCCAGTGCCAAAAAAGAAATAGCGGGGAGGTTGCTTTTACCTTCTACTCCATTGTATTGACTTTCTCCTTGAAATCAGTAAACAATGTTTTCACGTACAAAGCATACAGTCACAGGACAAGTTCACACACAGAAAGAGGTATTTTCCTTTCATGTTAAAAGGTCCCTCGCTGTCTAAGACAGTCTGACTCAAATGTGATCTTAAAAACAAGTACTTTTGTATATGCACATGTCTATATCATTTTCAATATTAGAGTTCTAAAGTTAAGTCTGCGACCCCAATACTGATACTCACACTCATAAATCCAGCGGTAGCACTAACACCTCGGAGTCCAACTGAGTCTGCAATCAGTTTACTCTTGACAAATATTTTCAAATAATGACACAGGGTTGTTTTGATTTATTACACATAATCCCCTTGAGTTAGCATACACTGTTAAAAATTGTATTTAATTGTATTTCAGTATTAGAAGCAATAGTGAGATTATTTTTCTTTACTTAGTAATGGCAGGTTCAAAGAGCAAAGCTTTGCTAGAAAGCTTTCATTGCTTCTTTAGCTGTTGTCATTACAGTCACTACTTTCTGCCATAATAAAGGCATAGGTTAAACTGATGTAGCACAGTGGAGCGTTCATATAATGACCTATTTTTGCCCTTTATCTCCCGGCATTTTATACAAAGTATCTTGCTTTCTTGCCAAAATGGCAAATACTACTGTTTTGATTATTTTTACTTGGATTTGTTGTAGAAACTGGAAGGTAGAATGCTATATAACAATGTGCTGTATGAGTGTGTGCAGGTCCTACTTGTGCTGGAGAAGCCCTTACTCAGATGCTGGTCTAAACCATGTGTCACTGAGCGGAGGCGCTGGGGCGTTGTGCTTCGAGTATTGGGAGTAGAGCAGGTGAAGCCTGGTTTGCGCAAGTTTCTTTCCAATGGAAATTTGCAGGGCGATGTGTAATGAGGTCTCACCCCAGTGTGTAGTCAAAGTATACATCCAGCCACAGGAGCTGAGAGGTGTCGGTGGGTCCCACAATTTCCATGTACTCCATGAGGCTGCTAGTAAGCCAACTACGAGCAACATGAGTAGAGGTTGTACAAGCTGAGCTCCTGCAGAGCATTAAGTAGGCTTCAGCACTGTATGGTCTATGTTTGGAGGTGCAGAACAGTCATACAGATTAGCCTCCTCTCCTCTTATCTTCTGGAAGTTCCAGTTATGATAATGAGCAGCAGCCCCTATGACAGAAAGAAAAAGAAAAGATGAGAGTTAGAAATGGCAGTCCAGGAGGACTGTTAGTATCCCGACGGTCTGTGCAGTTTCCAAGCCCATCACCTTCAACCACGATATCTAAAATCAAACAAAAAGAGGAGAGCTTTGGTCCCCTTTTAATAAAACACGGGAAAATAAACCTGCTGAATTTAGTGGGCTGTGACATTCGACTGTTAATTGATGGGGTCAATTGTTGGCCCAAACTGGGCCGCAGCCCAGGCAGGCTTTTAGCTCTGCTGAAGAAAATGGGCTGCACTGATGCCCTGGGTCAAGCCGGGAGTACTTACTGAGAGCTGCAGGGGGATTAAAAATTCCAACCACTTCTAGACCATTTAATGCATTTCTTGCTAAATAAATTCTCCTGTGTTTACATTTTTTGTGACTTTGGTAATGCATGTAATTCTGTTTGATGTGACTTACACTGTAGAGATTTTTCTGTGATGGAATTATGGGGATATTTTCTAGGACAGCTGGAAAAGTTACAGGTGTAGCTATCGTGTACTTGAGATTAAAATCTGGTCTTTTGTGCTTGGTTGTTATATAAGTATAAATTATTTATCATCTTCACTTTTTTTAAAAGTGCTTTTCCTCTTTTTTGCCTCAAAATCCCTTTCTGGAAAGTGAGGATAAGGATACAGCCCTTCTTTGGAAAGGAAAGCTGCAAAATTAAAAATGCAAAAAAATTAAGATAAAGGCTCGAAGAAATAGAGCATTTTTTGGAATGTTTGGCTTTGGTAGCAGCGTGCAGTTGACAAACAGAAGGCTTCTGTTGCTAAATAATGAATGATAATTAACACATTATCTTGCCTTTATGTCTGTTCAAAGAAGGAGGCAAAATGAGCTGCTGTTCTTCTAAGCTTTCTTGAATTGTATCCTTACAGTTAGTTTTAACTCATTCACAGTATGAAGGCAATTGAAATAAGCCTGGTCCTAGTAGCTGATATTCATCAGGAAAAAAATGTATGGAGAAGCCATATGGCAACGGGCGTAAGGTTGTTAACTTTCAAAGCTACTGGAAGTATAATTCTGTCATTTTTCATTTATTCAGTAGTGACAGCAGATGGGAGAAAACACAGTTCACGTCAGCATGAGTTTCCTGAAACAGAAACAGGCAGAAGAAGAAGGGAGGAGGTATTTTACCTCTGGAAATATCAGTACCAAAATACCAATGTATGCCAGGGATAGGCAAACATTTATGGGAGGCCCTTTTATAGCATTTTGGAGTCAGTATCTATGCTTTGCTGCTTCTCTGATACTTCAGTGAGCTATAGGTCTCTTTAACTGAACCAAAAAGTGTGGTTAGAATGAAAAGTAGTGTTGCAAAGCACAACAGGTAACGGCAAGAAACTGGGGTGAGTAGTTTTCTTTCCTTTCCCTTTATTAAAGGGCAGGATGCTTTTTTTAACTGCGCAAGAGCACATTTTTGAAAGCAGAATTTAGGAAATTGCAACACCAGCACAAAGTATGTATGACGGAGGGACCTTGATGGGGCTCGCTGCCAAAAGGAAGACACCCCGTTAGCATCCTTGGCGGTGCCAGCGAGGAAAATACCGATCTTGCTGGGCAAGGGTGTCACTAGGTAACATCTGTGTCACCCTACGCAAGGTGGAGCCATCCCGGATTTGAGGGCTGCAAAGACTGAAATAGCGTGATCTTGATAGTTTGGAATAATAAAGTGTATAATTTTGGAAAATTAGACTGTACTGCGTTCCCTGAGAGCTTTTAAATAGAAGCGTGGAAAGAAGCCAGGTGAATTATGCAATGGTGGTTATTTAAAGGAACATATATTTCTGTTGTCCGGCGGGGGAGAGAACAAAATGCTGAAATATTGCACATGGCATTTAGAGCTCCCAAAAAAGCCTCACCTGGCCCTGTTGTGTGGCTGCACGCAGTGCCTACAAAATCAGGCGACTACTAACATGTTGGTGGAGCAGAGCCACGATTGTGCCCTGCCTGTGTCCTCGGCCCTCTGGAGATGGCAGCCGGTTGACTGACAGCTTATGAAGGCAGCGTTTCAAACAGACCAGATGAAAGCAAAAGGCTAATTAATAACAAATGGTGTCTCAGCTCAGACGTGCTTCAATAGTGAAGTATCCCTCCTTGTAGGATAGATCTGTTTGTTTTTAACTTCATGGAAAGTGCTTGAAGTTGTTGACATTTGAATTACCCTGGTTCTGCGCAGATCAGGAAGTTTGAGATCAGTTTTGATAGCACTCAGCACAGGATAGTTGTTGATATTTTTAAAAGCAACCTGCTCGGTTTGGTATGAATTTTATTAGGTTATCTGGGGAAAATGAATTAGTATCAAAAAATAATAGATGTAAATTTCTATCAGTTTAACAACTGTCTTACATTGGGACCTTTAAAATCGTAATCAATGCTCTGGACTTAAGATGAATGAGAAAGTATTAAAATGTGTTAATTACAAAACAGAATACTATATAGTATTATACCTACATAATAATAATATATTATCTATATATATAGGTAATAACTATATATTATATACCTAGATACTATCTAGATAACACACAAAAAATTATAAATTATAAAAAGAGGATGTTTTAAAAATCTACTGCAAAGGGAGATATTTGAATCCTCATTCATATAAATTTTGGAAGGGAACAGGTCACAGTTCTGTATTTGAACGTATTTTCACATTCAGATGATACTTACCTTGTTTGTGACTTTTAATGATTTGGAACTACTATGTAAATAACAACCAAAGACATCCAGCTCCCTTGTTTCATGTTACAGTCATTCTTAATCACTGGTGGGTTTTGCTCCCTGAGCTACTCTACAGTTCCCTTTCAAGAGAGTTGTTCTGCTTTATAATCAGTAATCAGAGCAATTGGAAATTGTTTTCAGCTGTAATAATAAATTCGGCAAAATAAGTTTTGCTGGAGGCCATGGATACCGTAACTCCAAGTTGTGGCTTGCTGATACTTGTGATGACCTCCATACTCCAATTTTATATACTGTGCTGAGGGTCTAACTTTATCTCATTCAGATTATTCCTGTTGTTCTTTTTTGTTACTGCTTTCTTTTTTTCTCTAATACCTACAATCTCTCTTTTACCCCAAAGTGAATTTACATTTTTTTGTTTGGTGAAAGAGTCACAGCTGAAGGGCTTGTAGTTGACACACATGTTGACATACAGATTTCCCCAGCTGCCCCTCTACTTCTTCTCCTTTTTCTCAGTCTCGCGTTAGTGTAATCAAATATATTGGTTTCAATATAACACCACTGCAGGATGCCTGTCCCCATAGGCTGCTTGGCAGGTTGCATTATTATGCTGAAAAAATTTGTGTGACAGCAACTAAGAAAGCAGTCATATTCTTGTCAGAGGAACATAGTGCTAGATAGGAGTTGAATGCATCTCTTGCAGAAGAAAACAAAGTGTTGTCCATTTGGGTTGCAACCAAGCTAATAGGCTGCCAGTTGTCAACAAGTGAGAAATCCCACTCTGCTGAATATGGCAGTCTTCTCTTCTAATTACATATAGCTCTGACTCTTGAAAAGCTGGATTTCTCCTGAGTAAGGCTAGTTGGAATATAAGATTGCCGGTTCGTAGAGAGTTTTCTGGTACACTGACGTGTAGTCTTAATCCACTACCTGAGTGCTCAGGGACACACATTTCCCAAGGTCTAACCAGGCAGAAGAGGGATTCCCGGACCCTCGTTTTCTGGTAGAGTTAGGAAATACTCGATGATGCTAAGCCTAGAAGCCCTGGGAGCCCTGATCTGCCAAACCTGAACTGGTGCACACTAAACCAGGTCTATGTACGGCTCAGATGCCACAGGTCACGGTTTTCCTAGGAAATTTTATATCAAACCATTCTCCTGACAAGCTCCAAAATGCCATTGTACATGCAAACAGGAAAAAAATTCCTCAATACTACTTCATGAATTACTACAGAAAACTAACAGCATTGAGAATATAATTACTGAAAATCTTCACGACTGTAATGTATGTGTTAGATGCCTAGCTGCTGTGATCACGACATGGATGCACTATAATGATGAAACATGTAAAGGCTGCTATACCCAATCATGTATTTTTACAGTGTTAGCTTTTATGCTTTTGTAAATAACAAATAAACTAGTTCATCCAAAGTTAATACCCACTTTATTTTTTACTTCTTGATTTGGGCATTGCTACTTCTGGATAATGATTATTCCTTTATCCCATTCCGACATCACTGACGTGCATCATAAACCATGTTAAGTGGCAAAATTGGTACTAACTTTAAGTCCTTTCTGTGCCATTGTCTCACAGACTACGACTGATTCGAGCACTAGTGAGAGCAAGAGTGCTGATGACTATATTATGGTTTCCAAAGAAGAGGAAGGAAGTAGAAGTGCTGTCCCGGAGCCAGCGCAGTCCCATCAGGCACACAAGGAGGCAGCGGTGAAGCCAGAAGCTCCATCTCGTTCTTCTTTGATATTCTCTGACCCACTGATGGGCTCCATTTCAGCCTCCTCCAGCAACCTGAGCTCCAGCCCTGATGATGACAGTAGTAATAACAGCAAAGATTCTGACTTTGCTATTGTCAGCCCACTGGACATCTAAAGAAACAGGTTGGGAGAGTTTGAGAGGTCGGTTGTTACACCTCAGCTCAAATTCCTATGATTCCACATGCTGGATAGTTCTTTGGATTAGAAGTACAGGAAATAGATAAAGGTAACCCATTTCAGCTGCCAAAAGCCTAAATTAAAAAAAAAAACCCAACCCAAAAACCAAAACCCACGAATTTGCAACTCTTCAAAAAGAATAGACGCCTTTTAATAACTGCCTTAAATAAAGACCCAGTAAAACCCGGTTCTAATATACAGTTATTCTTTGTTATAGAGTTATCTTACTTAGGAGCTTTGTTACTATAGAACTGTTGCTTTCCCAAAACATAGAATAGTATGTGCTAGGTACCGTAATGTATTAGGAAATGTGTAGAAACTTGGCATCAGACCTGAAGCAGCAAAGACAAGCTAGATTTAATATCGTCCTTTTGCAAAATATGCTCGACTGGGTTTTCTGAGTAGGAAAGGGTACTGTTTCTTCAGAGACTGTGACTAGAGAAGTAGGGAACGTATTTCAGAAAGATAAGAAGCATCATCCTGGCAGTAAGCTTGTTCTCAGTTGAGGAATCCTGGTTTCTTCATTTTCATCCGGCAGTAGCCTGAGGTGTGTTCAAGGCAGAGGTTTGTGTAGTTGTTCCTCAGCGCTGTCTTACAGGGGAATGTGTGACAAATTCCTTGAGAACGGGGACCTATACAACAGAGCCTTATTTCCCTTTGCCTACTTTTTTT